CCCCCCCCCCCCCCCCCCCCGCGGCTTGTCACCCACCGCGTTCCGCGTAATGAGCTCAACTGTCACGTAATACAGAAGATGTAGCCTGCGAGGCGCCAAGGGGAAAAGCTTGTGTGCTACAGAAAATATGATAAAAGGGCCTGTCTGTCACGACTAAAACTTTGCAAAACACATGGAACTGAGAGGTGACTAAAACGTCCCAGACAAGTCGTAGCGTTCATACGAAAGAGGGATTACATTACTCGCAGACCTTTAACAATAGTTGTAAACAATGGGAATTTAAAACAAAATTAAAATTTGCTCGTACACGTTGGCATTCATAAGTTTTCTTTTTAATATGGAGGACTTCAATGAACAATCTCCCAGTTGGACCCTTTCCCAAGGGCCTCTACTGAGGAGCTGTGATCGAACAGTTTCGGTTAGAGACCTACCAGACCAGCAGATATTTTCAGGGAGGAAACCAGTGTTGAATTAGTGAAATTTTGAGCTGCAGTTTATCAAATCATTCCTCCAAAACCTTTTTATTCTCATGAAAAAGGTCCCGCTGGCTAAGAGGGACAAGCCGTCCCACGGACAAGAATAAGTTTTCTGGTATAAGTTTTGAGAACAGTTTCATTATAAAACGATAAGCTTCGAATCAGCTGCTTGATTTTCATGATCTATATGTTCGCTTTGCATTAGTGTTCTGAGGAGAACTTAGCTTTTGATCACCGCTTCCTACTGTACTGAAAGGGATGAAAATGTAGGTCTGCACCATGACAAAGAAAGGCTGTTAGAGCATGCAAAGTGCTTATCAGAGACACCGTTAAATGATATTTAGACTATTAAGGCTATAGCATGAAGATCAAAGTGGCTTCAGTTTGTTATTTTGACTTGGCTGTCTCCCCAAGGCATTGAAAACGGAATTTTAATTCGCGTGATCCTGCACGCATTGTCTTTTTCTATTACAGTGAAGCATGACCAGCTGAGTAGGTTTAAACACAATATCAGTTACGCCTGGAATGCAATACGTACTGTTGTAGATTGTGTCTGTTATGTTCGGACGCCATTTTCTTTTCTGTTGATAAGCAAAATAAGATCTGCATCTGGTTGTCGAGGCTAATCAAAGGAACGATCATCTTTACAGGTAGGGGATTGTTTGTTGGCTGTTTTTGCTTGGTTGAACACGGGATATTAATTGTTACATTCATGCTACGTTCTTTTAACTCGCTTCTACAAGATGCAAACTCCAAACTTAAGTTGTAACACGTAATCATGGTAGTGGGATAAAGTAACTCGAGATTGTCTTAACTTTCTCTAGTTTTCGAAAGAACCATTGTTTGCTATCAGTCGTCATGTTTCAAACCCGTTCACGGCAGTAGCGTTGGAGTGCAGATGTATGCCCAGTTTAGATGTTTGCGGGTTTCTTCGACTGATTAAGTTTATATGTACTATATTTTCCTGTTGTTATGTTGGCTTTCTCGTGATAGCCAGAAAATGAAGGGACAAGCTTAAGATACTGGTCAATTACGAAGGGCGGTTGATTTAGATACCTTAATTTACGTAGTAAGTATGTCTTTGCTTTGTCATCAAAGCAGACGCGAAGCCCTATGAGAATATTAATAAGTTGTTGTTGATAAACTATATAAGTACAACTGAAACTATGAATTAAGTTTGTTGGTAATGAGCTTGTACCTGAAATTTTAATGGAAAGCAACAGAGAACTGCATCGAAACGGAAAACTTTAGAACGCTCTCAGTTGAAAGCGCATCTTTAAGTAAATGAAATTGAAATCGGCTAGTTGTCAAAGTTTCGTCAATGCAAATTATTGCTAAAAAGTCCTAATGACTGTTCGGTTTCAAATGATGTAGCAAGGCTTAGTTCACAGTGAAACGCAATTTTAAGTAGAACGACAGAAAATCAGTCAAGTTGTAATTTGTTCTAAAATCAAGTCAATAGTTAATCAAGACAGTTAAAGATAGTTCTGACGCATGTTTGTTAGTTATGCGTGAGTTTCATCGTTAATGGTTATTTCATAGTTTTATTGTAATCAGTTCGTTTACATCGTGAGGCGTTTTATAAAAGCCTGTGTTTCAGTAGCCCGTTGCTACAGCGTGCAGCCAAAATACATTGATCAGTTATAAGCTGTTTTCTACTTACTGTAAAACGTGTCTTCAAGAATGGGGTCTCGCTTTAATCTTTACCTGTCGTCTTTTAAGACTTTTGTTTACTGCTGCTTTGTAAACAAGTTGACTTTTTATTTGAATAGTAAAATCTCGCGCCTTTGATGACAAAAAATTAAAGTTGATGCATGAGCTGACTGGTGCAGCAGAATATTTTAGGCCCCAGCTGTCCACACTACGCCGGAGAAATTTGAAAACGCACCTTTATTTCTAAGGTTAGGCCTACTGTCCACACTAATATGAAAACTGAGCTTTTCGAGAACAGTACGGTCTGTCGCTCTTCAAACCGGTGGAATTTGAAAACGCCGGCTTTTCGTTTTCGTGTGGACGGAAAACATTTTGAAAACAGAGCTTTTCGAAAACGATGACATCACGATAATCACGTGATTTCCCTGACCGAGTTTTCCTCGGCTCAACCACAAATCGTTGCATTTTGAGAATCAGTTTCTACATTTTTAATTTTTAACTTGTCATCTTTTTTATTCTGTAAATATTTATGTGAGGGCCACTGGTTTTTCAGTTATTACTGTTGTGTGCAACCCTCAATAAATAAAGAGGGGAGGGAGGCACAGTGGCCTCATGGTTAGTGCGTTCGTCTCCAGATCGAGTGGATCCGGATTCGAGCCCTACCCGTGGACGTTGCGTTGTGTTCTTGGGCAAGACACTTAACTCTCACAGTGCCCCTCTCCACCCAGGTGTATAAAATAAAATGGGTATCGGGGAACTTAATGCTGGGGGTAACCCTGATGGCGGTAGCCCTGTCAATTATTATTAATGGACTGGCATCCCATCCAGAAACCAGGATAAGCTCCGGCCTGATGGGCCACTTGGCTCGTATGCAGACTATAAAGGCATTTGCAGACCTATTATTAAACTAGAAGCATCCACTTATTATTAAAAGTCTTATGGTTTTCTGATGAAACCTCACTAGCAACACAAGCATAAGCATAAGCTTGCATAAGCATAAGATACTCATGCGCTAGTGGGGACGCCCGCGACATGAGCATAAGCATTCTTCTTATGCTTATGATTAGTAGCGAGGAAATTGTCTACATAAGCAGAAAATGCTCGTTCAGTTGGCTGAAAGTCTTTCGCTTATGGTTATGCTTATGCCAACACTGCATACTGGTTGTAACAGCGACATAATCATAAGCATAAGACGAACGTGAGGTTTTTAGTGATATTCATAACCCCCGCTTAAAATAATACTACGAAAACTCTACTTACAGTAATGTCAATATTGTATGCAATGTTAGTAATGATACTACTGTAAGTAGAGTCAGTATTGTAAGTACTGTTTGTATGGTAAGTAATGTTAGCGATGTAAGTTATGGTGGTATTGTATGTAATGTTAGTGTTGTAAATTATGAGTGTCTTCTGTGCTTATTTTTTGTACAGAAAATTCACCATGGAGAACGGCTTTAAATCTAAGAATGCTTCTGCTGTGGCGATGCCTCCTGGATACGTACTGAGGGAGGCAAAGAAACCTCGAGAATCGCTCAGAATCCTGCTGATCGTAGTAATTCCGATCATTTTGTGCGCCATCTTGATCCTGATCTTTATGTTCGCAGTGGACATGCCTCCTAAAAAACCCTACACGTCGCCTTGCCTCGCGTCTGCTGAGGCCAACAGCTCTGACCTCGCAGAAGTCCTGAGAAAGGTCGAACGATTATACTTCTATAAACTGCACCCGGAGTTGATTCACAGCATGCAAGGAGTGACGCCCGAAGAAATCCGAAGGTACTTTCAGCCTTACGATCCCACCCCGAATGCTACCCAGAACAGAACCGACGACGCCAGGAAGTTACTCCTTAAATTAAACGAATTGGAATTTGATACCAAGTTGTTGAAGCTAAGAGAGCGCAAGGCAGTGCATGTTGCCAAGGCCATATTACTGAATAACTTTGGATGGGCGCCGTACGCACAAGACTACTACAGCGGTGACTGGCTGCTCGGACCTGATCTTTTCTGTTGGCAACCTGTTTGCAAAGTGTTTCAAAATTTAGATGCAGCTTTATCGTATTTCAAACCACGTAACATGACTGAGTTGGAGAAGCTGAAGGACCTTTTTGAGCAGTACAATCGAACGTTTAATAGGTACATTGAGAATTGGAAACTTGGAGCGCGCACAGGATATGTAAGAACCTTCCAAGCTTGCCAAGCTGGTCTGCATGCCATCAAGTACGACAAGTACAGAAACATGGCGCTGAAAAACGAATCAGGTTAGCGTCACTCAAATACAAGCTTCACAGTAGTTAACGGTTTGAGTCGCGGGGTATAACTAAGTTTGTCTCAGGGGACGTGGGACTCCTATACGAAAAGGTCTGAAATACTCGTCGTGTCGTTTAAGGATGTAAGTCAAGGATGTTGATCTCATTTGGGGTGTTGCCTGTTGAAGACCAAAAGCCACTACTTTTAGCCGTCAAAGCACCTTTTAGAGATAAGTAAAGCTCGACCCACACCCAGATTGGTTTCCTTTTGGGGTTAAATTCAAATTTTCCAGTGAGCATCCCCGACCTCTCACATGGGAACTGGGAGTTTGTCTGCCTTTGTTATAGCTTAAGGTAAGTTTGGTTTTGGTTTTACTACCGGTATGAAATTGACTGAGTAGTCTAATTGGTATGTAACTGGTTTGGTTTTGGTTTTACGACACTCAGTTAAAAACCGCTCTTTGTTATCGTACAGGCAGCTGTGATGCTAAGTCTTGTATTCACAAAAAGACTGTTGTTCCGGCGCTTGTCATGGTCTTAGAACTGGGGGCTTATAGCCGGTTGTAGTAACGAAATTTATACTTAAGTGTTTAGAGAGGAGTGTGGTATGTAACATTTGAATAGGCTCACGTTTGCATATTCCCCTCCAATATGCGTTTCTGTTTTGCCGGGTTTTTTTTTTTACATCTTATACGGTAATTAGTTTTCCATAGGGGTTGTAAGGGAGACTACAGTCTTTGACTGTAATTACGCACCCTGTTGACATAAAGTGTCATTCATTCATTCATTCATTCATTCATTCATTCATTCATTCATTCATTCATTCATTCATTCATTCATTCATTCATTCATTCATTCATTCATTCATTCATTCATACATTCATACATTCCTTCGGCTTCCGTCCTACCTTCCTTCCTTCCTTCCTTCCTTCATTCATGCATTCATGCATTCATTCATTCATAATGGCTTTGCGTGGAAGGTAAAAGAATAGAGGGTTTAAACACGAGGTTACAACACCACCGCTGTCAATCACTCGACTACGCTACCTCCATTTACAGCAGTCCACATATTTTTACTTTGTCTTTCTCTTTTAGGTATTTATGATCAAAAGTTTGCTAAGGTGCTCAATGATTCAAGCTTCTTTGAAGATCTCTCGAAGTCGGTGAACGATACTTGGAAAGAAAGGTTCCAACAAAACGTGACGATGTACTTCAAACAGTCTCTTATAGACAATATCGCAAAGGCGGCTATCAGGATGTTGAAGTAAGTCTCCAACACATATAATTTGACTGGCTCCCCCCTGCACCTCGGTGGGATATGACGTTGTTTTAACGTGGGAGCCTGGTGTGGAGGGAGGGAGTTACTCTTTAAAGTTTTATATGGGCAGGCTCCGCCCCAAGGTCCAACCTTTTACCCTTTTGTATACCATTTTGACAGAAAGGGTAACCCTTTCGTATATCTTTTATTAAAAAGGTACCGCTTTCACACACCTTCTTTATTGCGTCCCTTTTCTGAACTTTTGAAATGAAGTCAACAAACTGATAATCAAGCATTCCAGAAGAGATGTTAATAATAATAACAATAATAATAAT